CTATCACTAAAATAATTTACATATTTACTGACCCTCTGTTGACACAATCTCTGACTTTACTGGTGTGTAGTTACGACTGTTTGCAGCTGTTTTATGGTTTTACGTCTTCTCTCTTAGTCAGAATGGCATGGGATTGATGTCCAGTATGGCACGTGTAGGAGCTATGGTGGCCCCCATGGTGCGCCTCACGGGAGACTACATACCTTGGCTACCAGGTTTAATCTATGGAGGGGCGCCAATCTTCAGTGGGGTTGCTGCTATGTTTCTTCCAGAAACGCTTGGCACACCCCTTCCCGACACAGTACAAGATGTGGAGGAGAGGTAAGATTGAGTTCCAGGACGCAGCATGTGTTCCTTTTATTTTATCTCTGCATGTCCCAGAATCAAAACATTAATTTTAGAAACAGAACTCAGCAGGACTCGAGGGTAACGTATACAGCAAATAGCAAATGATCATGGTTTACTCAAGGCCAAAAAAAGCTCATAAAGCTAGAAGGGAGAAAGAGAGAGGGAGAGAAGGGAGAAAAAAAATAATATATCCATATTTGCATTTTCTATTTTGCACACAGGGGATCTGGAAAACGCTCCAAAATGTCACCAAAAGAAACAATAATCTTGGAAGACACCGGGGCAAACCTCCTAAAGCCTGTTGCCTGAGGGCATTTGTGTTGTACTTCTGATGTTTTTGTACTCCACATGTTAATGAAAGTAGAGTGAGTGTTACTTTTATCTCTTCTCTGTTCATTTGATTTCCACAAATTTGGTTCACCTTATGATTGCTGGACGAATGTTTTTTCTTTCGTTTTGTGAACAAATGAGTTACATCCGAAGCGAACGCCACCATGAAAAGAACGCTGTGGACAATCAGACCTGTTTATCTGACAATCAGTAGGTTTCAGGATCTTAATCTTACTTTGTACATGTCATTATTATTAATTTTTATTTGTATTTTGAATGTGTAGAGCGATTTCTTTATTTGAGCCTTTCACAGGTTAAAGACGGCATCCACTGGTATCTTTTAATGTTCTATACACAAGCCCGTATTGGAAAACAATTGCCTTTTTGTCTTTTAAATCAAGACTTCTTATAATCCTTTTTAAATCTCAAAGTCTTTTTTATGGACTTTTGAACACAAATATTAGTAAAACCCTTTTCAGTCTACTTCATCTGGCATGAGTCATTTTGAGCTGAATTAACTAAAACAAGACGGAACGAGAAATCAAGGATTTGGATTTAAATAAAAGCAGCAGATGAGCCACACAACAGAAGGCACAAAGTATAAAAACTAAATAAATTGATTCACAGCAGGAATCTGACATGCCGTTGTTTTTCAAATCTCTTGTGTTCACAAGGCAGATTTCCCATGAATTATGTGAAATGAACCCCCACTCTTTAAAAATTGAACACTCTAGTTAATGTTTGAAGGGCAGATCAGTGTTTTGTTGCTGAAGCAGGTAGCTTGGATGGGTCAGAGGATTTTGTTTGTGTTTTTCAGATAAGACAGCCTCCAAGAAATGTTGTAGTTTCTCAGATTTTGAAAAATGATTTCAGAGTCCATTTAATTTATTCAACTACTTTTGTTCTCAGCACGCTGCACGCTCTGGATTTAACGCCGCTCTCTAGAGTTCTCACAGTTACCACCCGGAAAACGAGTGTCATCACGCAAGC